TGTGCATAATGCTGACCCTGAGAACCCTCAGAAATCCTCAAATTTAAGATCACCCAAGATGACTTTATCCATATAAACCCAAAGGGCAGAGAAGAAGCAGAACTGTCCCTCCCATCTACCAATATCTTTAGAATCCAAGGCTAGACCATACTTGATTTGCAGATGTTCAATGAGTGGCCCAGTCTCATACACTTCCTTGATGGCTTTCAAATTTGTTGCTTCATATGCCAAACAATGAATAATCTATATCCACTTAATGAGTAGACAATCAATAAGTGGTGCCTATGATTATTACCTAATTTTTTTCTTTGCTATTTTAATCAGAAGCAGGGCTGATTAAAAATGATTTTGGACTTGGATAAGAGCCTCAAGATTCAAGTTCTCCAATACCCAGCATGGATATATGCCAAAGACATATCCAAAGGTATAAAATATAGATGGATATCAATATATTTATCAACAGATATCAATAGAAAGTTGCTATCTCTGTTCTTAGAAAATTACTAATTTTTATATTAAAATATTTTTCTCTTAGTAAAACATTAGTCGTAGGGGATAGTAGCCATTGACTTATTTGACAAAATAAGAAGTCTGGAAGTCCTATATCAGTCTTCAAAATTATTTGAAAATGCACTCACCTATGAAATTCAAAGTCTAGGAACCACTGACTGGAGATGGGAGACCTCACCAACTTCAGCACCGCATGACGTCCTCTCTTGCCCTTTCTATTCATTCATTCATACCTTCATACCTTTCTTTTTTAAAACTATCATTTATGGAAGCACTGATTCAGTGCCTGGCACTATGCCAGAGACTGGAATTACAGGTGTGGAATATAATCTTGGTCCTCAGGGAGCCCACAGTCTGGGAAGCGGTAGACAGGCCAATAGTTATTCTACAAAAAGTCACTGTTTTTATGTTCTAACCATGGTAGATTCTAGAAAAGGAATATCTGCTCCTCCAGAACTCAACCTCTCATCCTTTTAAAGGGCTCTTTCTATATACATGGCATTTCTCACATTTTTTATATTCTAGAAGCCTTAAAAAAAATAGAATTGGCCTTGACCTCTCTCCACCTCTGAGAGGTTCTCTTTGGATGCTCAATAAACAAGTGTTCCAGGCTCATTTTGACCTTTCAGTTGTTTCCTTCAGACCCAGTTAACATTCAATAAACCAAAACATGTCTTCCTTGGTGTCCCACGATTCACCCTGGCATATGTTAATTTTAATTGTGGTACGTTGTTCCTAAAATATTTCTCTTATTATAAAACACATCATCTTTCCCAAAGGGGAAGGAAACAATTACAGGGCTATTTAAACAAGAAATACATGGCAGGTCATAATCACAAATTAAAGTCATAAAAAGAATCATAAAATTTAATGAAGACAAAAGGTAAAAACGATAAAAGCACATCTTGTCCACACAGGAGGTAAGAAGTTCTTCCACTTCAATTTCCAACTCACACCCGGCACCCTTTGGCTGGTGAAATTTGTTTGTGACACTTCACTTTGACACTTTATAGCACATGAGGAGTTAGTGCAGTGATATATTGGTAAGCTCGCTCTCTGAATTAAAAAGAAAGCTCTGATTTGTGGTATTTAACAATTTCCAAGGGGACAAATATTCTCACAATGAATAATTTCAAATGACCAACAGTTTAATGACCAACTCACAAAATTTCTGAATATTTAACTACCAGTTCTCATAAGCCCATGGGAGGTAGCTCCTGCACACCAGTGGATGACTGGAATTTGCGAGGCGACAGCTCCCATCTAGATCTCCATTAGGAAGTAAGTAAGGACCAAGGGTTTTTAATGGGGCTAGGTAACTCCTTGAATTAGATGAAGGAAGCTAGCACATTAGCAGTGGTGTATTTATACATTACTGTGATGAATCCAGTCAAAGGCTTTGGGGCTAGAGTCAAGAAAAGATTGACGGTTCAAGGAGGAAATGGGGGAGGAGAGGATTGTCCAGACATTGGTGGGTATAGAGGGGCTGATTACAGCAAGCTGGAGGAGCAAAAGGGCATGTCGGGGGGCTTTAGGGAAGAGAGAAGGGGAGGGCCTGAGGGGAGAACTGAGAGAAAGATGGCACCCAGAGAGGAGGCAGGTACAAAATTGACCCAATTCCCAATGGTACCTTCAACTGCTACATGTTTGCAGAACAGAGTCCCCTGAAAATTTCCACTTGATTTCCAAGGAAAATTGCCATAAATATTTTGTTTTCTGTCCTGTGGTTTGTCCCCCCAGGAATGTGATCACGAGAATGTGAACTCAAGTTGATAGCTCCTTCATACACATATGGAACAGTTTTGGGATGGGAAAAGACTTTTTTAAACTGAAAAACAAATCCCTGAAGAGCAACTTGGCTTTTGGTTAATAGATCTGATGATTTAAGGGGAACGAGAAGTGTGGCAAAAGGAGGTTTTTGAAAAACTAAGTGGCTCTTTCTTTAGAGCAGGGCTTTATCATTCTGTAGCCAGAGCACACACTTCCCATCCCTCTTCTTTCCCTAGGCTCCAGGAGCTGGACTCTGCTTCCCCAAAGGCCCTGTTCAGAAAAGCTAGACTCCTGATTTCTTCCCAAGTGACTGTGTCCAAAATATGCACACATATCTCTTCGTTTTTTTAAAGAGGTTTACTGAATAAGAACAGAAGCATTGCTAAAAACAGGCATTGAGAAGGTTGCAGAAAATATTTTTTAATTACAGAAATATGATATATATTTGTTATATATTTATAATTATAGAAATATATATTATATATTAATTTCTGTAATTAAAAATATATAAACAGAAAGAGAGATTTTTTTTTAAATTATCCCTAGGAACCCTCATGTTCGCTCTTACGGCCTTCAACTGATTAGATGAGGTCCACCCACATTATCAAGAGTAATCTTCTTTACTTAAAGTGAAGTGATTGTATACATTAAGTACATCTACAAAAATACCTTCACAGCAACATCTGAACTGGTGTTTGACCTAACAACTGGAACTGGGCACCATAGCCAGAATGAGACATAAAATTAGCCACTCCAGGTAGAACCCTAGCTCACCCTCTCTGACCCAAGGCTGAAATTTCTTCTCCAACACTTCTGTAATCTTCCCTTGGGTCCTACCCCAGAGTCTGCAGTTAGTCATGTGGTCATTACCACTTTGGCCCACATCAAGTCTGTTCCCTGTGGCTTCTGGGAACCCACTATTACCTTTGGGTTACCTTCTTTCTGGTGGGTTCTATTGTAAACAATGGCTCTAGCCTCTTTTGAGGCTCAGTCTCTTCCATCTTTTGTCTTGAATTAATATTTGGGTCCACAGGACCAAATACCATTACCAGAGCGCCCATCTATATCAAGTCAGCTCCCTATAAGAACCCACAAGTATATGCTGCCTCCTTCAAAGGAAAGGTGTCTGTTACAGGTCAGTTATGGACTCTGGTCTGTGTTGTCCTTGCTCTGGGACCCAAAGATGTCTGCCACCTCTGGGGCCTTACCAAACACAGTGGCAGCGGGAACATGGGAAGCCCTGTACCAGCTCTTAAAGCTTCCACTTAAGAGTGATGCACTTCCACTCACACTGCACTGGCCAGAACATACCACAGGGCCATACAAACCACAAGGCAGCCAGGAGCCACCACCCCACCATGTACCTGGAAGTAGATCTGGAATATTTGGTGGCCAGCACTGACTGTCATCACACGTTCTCTTAGCTTACCTGCACAGCTGAGGGGCATGACTCAAGCCCAGTGAGCTGTCAGTCCCTCTTGAATCAGACCCCCAGCCCCCTTCTCCCACCTCCCAGGTCCTTGTGGGTCTCCATCAGGCACACTCACAACCTTCCTTCTCTGTTCCTTTCTGTTCCTTTGCCTTTCCCACCCTGCCCACACTCAGAAATGACCTTCCAAAATCAATGCTGGAATTTTATCATGGAAACATGCATTGCACAAACAGTGTTAATTTTTTTCTAGACTTTATTTTCTTTAAGTAATAACATTAATCTTTTAATTTAAAATTTGATTTATTAAATAGACTAGATTTGCCTTAGTCCACTAAAGAGAAAAAGGATGATTTCCACACAGGTTTCCTGATCCATTACCCTGACTCCATGCTGCAAACCCATGCAAGACCAGGACCTACCTGCCCTCATACTTACCATGCTCCTGTGTTTCTAAAAATATATAATAACAAGAGAGAATTCTTATGAGATAACATGTAAGCAAGACAATTTCTGTAATACAGAATAATCCCAATTTTTTGAAAAATACATATTTATATGTGTAACTTTTAATGGGTCTAAAAAGCACTTCAAAATATTAGAAGATTATTTCTGGAATATGGAAGGAGAATTGACTGATATTTTCTTATATTTTCAAAATAGAACTGTATGTATATTCTTCTAATGAGGAAAACTTTTTTTTTTTTTTTTTTGAGATTTTTTGAGACAGAGTCTCACTCTGTCGCCCAGGCTGGAGTACAGTGGTGCAATCTCAGCTAATTGCAACCTCTGCCTGCTGGGTTCAAGCAGTTCTTCTGCCTCAGCATCCTGAGTAGCTGGGATTACAGGCACATGCCACCATGCCTGGCTAAGGAAAACTATTTTTTTTAAAGGTTCTAAAGTCATGGATGGAGCCTTTTCACCCTCTCATTACCTTTTAGTCACTTTTATAGACAAGAATATTTCCTTACATGTAATTACACTCTTTTATGTGGTCACATAAATCTGTTTCACCCTTTTAGGGTAATTGAAGGGAGAAAAATGTCGGGGTTAGGGATGGACTAAGAGATGTAAAGTGTTAACTTAGATTATGGGAACAAGCCTAGAAAATTAGCCAGGCTCATTGTCTCCATTCCCGTTTCCTCCTTTGGTTGCACAGAATCCACCCAGAGGAAGTTTTCTGCTCTTCTCCTCCCTGGGGGACCATCATTGTGCCTCTCCAAGCTTCAGTGGCACTGAGAGGTAGGGGCAGGCTAGAATGGAATAGACACAGCACAAACAATAAGCCCACCTGAGAGAAGAAGCCTCCTCAGCACCCAGGCGCTGTCACAGGTCAGCCACCCAAGGTCCCACCAGGGCTCCTGCATGTTCACAACTCTTGATTTATCCTGTCATATGCGAGGCCTCAGGCTCAGTGGGGAGTGAGACTGTGCAGGGAGAGAATCCATCAGAGGTTTACCAAGGTCAGAAGGTACAGTGGACATTAATACAGCTACTATATGCTCTAGGATTTTTTTTTCTAAATTTAGCTAAGAATATAAGCCCTCGGGTTCTTCTCACTTTCTATAGCCCCAGAGAAGGAGCACGAGGAAAAACAACCAATACAAAAAAGTGGAGGACACAGCAGTTTATAATGAATAATAAAAGCTAACACTTACTGAACACTTAGTCTGTGTCAAACCCGTTCTACATGCTATCCCAATACATCCCTCGGCAACCCCATGCAGCAAGGGTTATTATAACATGCATTTCTCAGATGAGGAAATGAACATGCTGCAAGCTCAAGTGCAATAGGAAAGTGTATTGGTTGTGGTTAAGCCATGGACACAGAGGCCAGACTGCAGGAAGGAATCTGAATACTGGTTCTGCCATTTATTAGGGTCCGGCTTTTGCATGTTATGTAATCTCCTCTGCCTCAGTTTCTTCTTCAGTAAATGGAGGCAATACTCCACCTTCCTTAGAGTTGATTTTGAGGACTAGACAAGTTATTCTATGTAAAGGGCTTTGCAAATCTGTCAAGTGTTCGTTCTTATTAAGTCATTTGCCTGAGGTCACAGTCAGGAAGTGGCGATGGTAAGATTAGAAGGCCCATGGTCTAGCTCTAGAGTCCCCACACACTTCAAATCTACTTTCCTCTGGACATTGTGGCTGGTCTTGCTCCCAAAGAGCAGTCTCCCTTGGCTGGCCCTTGTTACATGACTTAAAGGCATCCTACTTGGAATGGAAGGGTGCCACTGGGCAGTCATTGAAGCAACATTATATTTTCAGCAATTCTGCTTTCAACACGCAATCTAAAATAGATAGGTAGCAAAGTTTTAAGTCTCTGGTGTATCACCCATGCACAGGAAGATGAGGGAACTGTCCATGTGAGGAAGGAAAGAAACACAGAATCAAACTGTGCTCACTCCCTCTCAAGCCAACCACACTCCTTGCCAGGGCTGACTCCCCACTCCTGGGACCACTCTCCACTGGGTTTGGCTTGAGTGTCCAGCTACAGACACATGTCAATGGGTACAGCCTGGCCACCCCGATAACCTTGACATTGGCCTGTCAAGCAGCCTCAAGCAGCTACAAACATGTTAAATTCACAGACACCCAAGGTTTCAGGCCTCGCCTTGGATGGTGATGTATGTCCAAATTGGAAGCTTAGCTTAAGATAAAAAAGTCAACCCTCCCTGCTGACACCCAGCTGAATAAAGGAAGTGCAGGGCCTGTGAGCACTAGCCCAGACATGAACTTCCTTTCCTTTGCTCAGCCTGGTCCTAAACTCAGAGACCTAATTACTGCCATTCACATTCCAAGGGCCTTAACTTCAACGCTGCCTCAAGCAGCAGATGGAGCCAAACTATCTTCTCTGTGTGGTTTAATAAACCCCAAGGTGCAGTGGCGGAACTGGAGATTAAGCCCCTAATCCCTCACCTGCCAGCTGGCTGACTTAGGCAAGGAGGTTCAGTTTCTTCCTCTGTAAAATGGGGATAAAACCCACTTCATAGTCTTGCTGGGAAGAGTAAACCAGGACTTGGTACAGGTGAAAAGCCTCTCAGAATTTTCTAGTCCAGTCTCTATAGAAATAAATTTTTGTATTAATCATGTTTCTTATTATCTGTGTTTTATGATGCTTTGATATCTTGGGGACCTTGCTGGCTGGGGGGAGACTGCCCCTCCCAGGATTAGCTAATTCCTACAGATACCAAACAACTTGTCTTTGAGCACACGTTTCTTGTGCAAACCAAGAAATCCAAAGTCCATATTCCCATCCATCTACTTTATCCAACTCTCACACACAAAGCCAATCTTTCACTGCCCTAAATCACCCCAGGGCCAGGTACCAGATAACTAGAAACCACCAAAACTATGGCTCAGAACCAGCCAATCCTAAATACTCTGCCTTGCCTGCCTTGCCTGCAGAAACCGTGATAAAGGCTGTGCTCATGCTTTCTGCCTCCTGACCGACCCTGGTGCTTCCCCAGGTGGCTCTGTATGGCAGAGTGTGTCTCCTCCTCCTGGAAACTGAAAATAATAAACTCTTCTTTCAACGGCATTGACCCGTCTGTGCTGTCACTCAGTCACCTCTATAAATTAAACCCCTGTACAACTGAAACACCCTTGCTATCTTCACTCTACCAAAACACAGGAAACAACTTTAGAAAATTTGCTGTTCAAACCAGGATCTAAAAATGAGCAAAGGATTGTTGTATTACATATTCTGGTTCCTTAATACCCTCAGAATCAAAGATGCTGTTGGTCACTAACAGCTGTTTCACCAAAGAAGTGGCACAAATTGGGTCAGATAACAGAGCTGGAAATGTGTGAAGCTCCACACTAGATGCCTGCCCAAAGTATATAAGCCCCACTCTGTCTTCAAAAAACATACAAACTGATTGTGCAAATGACATTCAACTTCCCCAAATATGTATATGTATTATATTAAATATAATAATACATGAAAAATACCAAATGCATGTTATACACTGTCAAAGTTCAGAGTAGAAAGAATGCACAAATAATGCAAATAAAATTCAATGGAGCGGCAAGAATAACAGTTAAAAGGAAATGAGAATTTTCTAGGGCCAAGCCCAACTCTGAGGGTCACATCAACCAGGAAGCCATCCCTTGAGATGCTGTCTCAAAACTTACTCCCTCCACAGATGGGAAAACCCTCCATGGGGCACTTAGTGGCATGCAGCCACTTATCTCTCAGGCTGCTATTCCCTCCTTCTTGGAAGCTCTCTCTAGCCTGAGTACCAGCCCCTTAGTGGAGGTTTTTCCTTCAATGGGTCACGGTACTCAAAGCTATAGTTCCATGAGGCTTAGAGTATGTCTTCATTCCACTGTCAGTCTACTTCAACCCATCATCTAACAGCTGCCTAAGGACCCAGCTGACACACTCTTGAGGAAATATGTTCTGAGAATGCCATACCAGGCTAGAGGCTGGACTGTGTGACCATGCCTTGTCATTGATTGTTAGTACATGTTCAGAAATGTTACCAAGGAAATGGCTCCAGAAGTCAGCCACACCAACCAGAACAGGGCCAAACAGGCAATGCTCTGAAATTGACTTCTGTACTGGGCCACAGATGGGATTCTCACTGAACACACAGGATGTGACTGGCTTTTCCTTAAGAACTGAAAAGTTATCGAAAGGATTCTCCATTTCCCATTAGATCCTAAAAATGTTTCCAATTTTTTTATTCACTTACTTGACACTCGGATTTGTTTGATGCTTGTTTAGTTGTCCAGTACAAGGTTTAGGACAGGTATGTCTGCATGGATGGGACCTCCTCGCAGACAGCACATACTTCATCTGTTACTCCCAGGGCAGCGTGTAGCGGAATGAGTGTGAGCGGAAGAATCAGAACTACTTGGTTGGTGGCTGATTCTGTTTCTCACCAGTGGTGTGACATTGAGAAAGTCACCTCAACCCCTCTGAGCTTCTTTCTCTGTCAGTAAAATGGGAATCATGCCTACCCATAGGGTTGTTGAGGATTAAATAACATGAGTAAAATCCTTAGTACAGTGCCAGGCACATCGCAGGTGTCCAAAAATATTTTTTCTAGCATTGTACTAACAAATATTTTAAGTGCCTAATCTAAAAAGAAATGTAATAATATTGCCTTGACCTCAAAGAAATGGTAAACTGCTATTATTAAGAGATAGGGTAATGACTATGTGGAAGTATGTTTGTCAGGATAGATGAGGTTATACTGCAGTAATAAACAATCTCAACATCTCAATAGCTTAAAACAATAAAGATTTGTTTCTTGCTCATATTATATGTCCATCATGCACAGGTCGGGGATTCTGCTCAACTTCATCCACATTTGGAGACACAGACTAACAGAGACTCCATTACATAGAATGTAACTGATTATCTTGGAAGATGGCAGAAGAAATGGAGAATTGCACTCCCACTTATAAGTATGCTTCAGCACAACAACTCCACTTATATTTTGCTGGCCAGATAAAGCCACATGGCTATACATAATTTCAAAGAGACAAAAAAGTATGATCTTCCTGCATACCCAAAAGTAGAGTGAAACCAGAGATTGATGAAAGTACTTATGATAAAAGTACTTAAGGAGGTACAAAATGTGTAATAAGATCATAAAGAAAGGAAAGCCAAAGGTTGCCTCAAGCTCCAGAAGAACCTCTTTCAGGAAAGTAACTCGTGATAAAATTTTAAAAATGAATAGTAACTTGTCAGGCAAAGGAACAGGAAGGTGTCCCAGGCAGAGGGACTCTAGCACATGCAAAGGCTTGCAGTCCTGATAAATTATAGCGCTCTCTGTGAACAAGTTATTCAGTGCTAATCAGTGTTAATAGGAAAAGAAAATATATCAGGTGAGTTGGGAAGAGGTAGAAAATGAAGTTGGACCAGTGCTAGATCATGTCATGATAGAGTACAGCTTTTATTAAGCAGGTGATGAGGGAGGGGGAGTAAAAACACTGAAAGGTCACAAGTAAGAAAGCGACAGGGTCAGATTTATTTGGTCATCTATTTAGTGGACAAATATTTATTGAGGGCCCACTGATATGGTTTGGCTGTGTCACCACTCAAATCTCACCTTGAATTGTAATAATCCCCACGTGTCAAGGGTGGGGCCAGGTGGAGATAATTGAATCATGAGGGCAGTTTCCCCCATACTTTTCTCATATGTGAATAAGTCTCACAAGAGTTGATGGTTTTATAAATGGGAGTTCCCCTGCACAGGCTCTCTTGCCTGCCTCCACGTAGGACGTGACTTTGCTCCTCGTTCACCTTCCGCCACCATTTTGAGGCCTCCCCAGCCATATGGAACTGTGAATCAATTAAACCTCTTTCCTTTATATATTACCCAGTCTTGGGTATGTCTTCATTAGCACTGTGAGAACAGAGTAATATACCTACTAAGAGCAAAGTACTGTTTTAGGAGTTGGAGATATATTGGTGAATAAAGACAAAGTTCCTGCCCTCATGGAGTTCAAATACTAATGTCAGGAAAGGCACTGTGGAAAAGTATGGAGAATGGGTTAGAAGAGATTGATTGAGAGGAGAAGCAAAGAAATTAGGAAAGAAATTATTGCAATTGTATAGATGAGTAATAATACAGAACTAAATCATGCAGTGAGAATGAAGAGGAAGGGACAGATAAAAGAGGCATTTGAAAGAATCAACAGAACTTGGAGATAATTCAATGTGAGAGTAAAGAAACAAGAGAAGTTAAAAATGACTCCTTGTTTTTTCTGCCACTTACTGAGACTGATAACTCGGAAGGAAGAAGCGGGTAAGTAGAGATGACGCATTTTGTCATTGATGTAATTACTTGGAGGTAGTGTTTTTCCCACAGGAATTTTGATGTATCTGGAATTTAAGAGCTCGTTATACATGGAAAAAATTAACTTGGGAATAAACAGAGGGAGCAGAAACCATGGGAGAGATTCTAGGTTAATGGCAAGTATATGTCTCCTCTCCCTCCCAAGACCACACCAGCATGATATTAAGGTATTTAATAAGATGTGAACACACAACAACAAAAAGTAGATAGCAGTGAACAACACATTCAGAAGAAAGTGGCTGAGGGAAAACTGATTTTTAAATGAAAAGGCTCAATATAAAGTGCTTGCAGAGGAGCTGACCTGGCCCCCCAAAGAAACACTTAAGAAACCAAAATGCTCTTGGAAATTAAAAATGATAACGAATAAAACAATCAATAGGAAAGAAGTACAGTGATGTTGAAGAAATCTTCTAGAAAGGGTAGCAAAAGTCAGATGGAAAACAAGAACGGAAAGGTTAAAGACTTGGACAATCAATCCTGGAGATCCAACTGCAGGCTAACAGGAATTCTAGAAACAAAACAGGGTAAGAGGATGAAGGAACTTATCAAGAAATAATACCCCCCCAAAATGTTCCAGAATTGCAGAACCAGTTTTCGGATTGAAAAAACCCTCCAGGTATGTACCCAGTGACCAAATCCTGACCTATATCAAAGCATGTAAGAGTGAAATTTCAAAACACCTAGATTAGGTTAAACACATAACCACAATCTCTCAGGGCAGGGGGGGAGGACAATGTACTTCATATACAAAGGAATGAAAATAATAATGATATCAGAAGGTGGATTATAGACCTAAATATAAAAGTAATAAAATAAGGATTCCAGAGGAAAACATAAAATATCTTTGTGACTTTGACATAACCAAAGATTTCTCAAACAGAGCACCAAATGCACTCAATATCATAAAAATGAATAAACTGGACTTAGGTAAAATTAAATTCACCACTAACAAAGTGAATAAGCAAATCATAGCCTATGAAAGGATAGTCTCCACACATATATCAAAATGACTTGCATCCAGAATATATATGAAAAGTTCTTTCAAATTAATAAGAAAATCAAGTCAATATTTTTAGTGGGCAAAACACTTGAATAGGCACTTCACAAAAGAGGATAACTTCCCAGTAAACATATGAAAAGTGTTTAACGTAATTACGCATTAGGAAAATGCAAATGACAACTTAAGTGAGATATCCCTACTCACCCACAAGAATGGCTAAAATTAAACAGGCTGGTGATACCACATGTTGGGAGGAAATGGAACAACCAGAACTCTAATACATTGTGCAAAGTGGCTCATCTACTTTGAGAAACTGCCCAACTCTCTGATAGTATCTCTGACTCTAGTATATAGCAATTCCACTCCCAGGTACTTACTTGAGAGAAATGAGTGTGTCTTCCAAAAAACATGTACAAGGGTGTTCATAGCTGCTGTATTCATAGTAGCCAAAACCTGGAAACAACCCAAATGTCCATCAGGAAAAGAACAGATAAACTCTAGAATGGTACATGGTAAAAGAACAAATGAACAGCTAATACACACAATGATATGAATGAATCTCATAGGCACTTTATGGAGCAGAAGAAGCCAGGCACAAAAGAGTATGGCTCCATAGTTGACGTTCAAGAACAGGTAAAGCTAATCTGTGGTGATAGAAGTCAGATAAGTGGTTATCTCTAGGATGGGGTGGGGTGATATTGACAGGAAACAGGCAGAAAGGAACCTTCTGGGTTGCTGATCTGAATGGGGTTACATGGGCAAATACAGCTGTAAAAGTCCATAAGGTTATAATTTAATATTAATTGGTTTACGTTTTGACCTTTTTAAAAAGATTATGCCTTTTTTAAAAAAGAAAAATAAGAAAAAAACCAAGAGTTGCATTAGACTTGTTAAGTGCCACACTGGAACTTAAAACACCATGAAGGAATGCCTTGAAAATTCCAAGAAAAAAATGGCTTTGATTCTCGAATTTCAGACCCATCCAAACTTCCAGTCAATTATGAAGGCAAATTAAAGACATTTTCAGATGAACAGGACTCAAAGAATTTTAACTCCCGTGCACCTTTTCTTTGGAAGCTTTCAGACGGTATTCTTTACCAAACTTGGGAATACCCTTGCCAATGGATTCTGAGAACAAGGGATCTGGCCAGAGTAAGAGAAGGGAGGGCTATGGTGAAAGGGACTGAGGAAAAGGGGAAGAACTGAAATATAAGCAGATATGAGAAACCATTTAGAAAAAACTACTGATAGGTTTGTGACAGATATTATGCAGCATTCAGAAAAAAAAAAAAGAGGAATAATGAATAACTACCTTGAAGAATCCATGAAAATTAGAAGTGACTATTGATTGACTCCAGGAGACATAAAAAAGATACTGGAAAGTAAATATTATCATAGTCCTCTACTTGAATTTAAAGTGAATAGTATGAATATAGTTGTGATATTATAAATGCTGATATTTGGTTTAACAAAAATATAAGCATCTTGGGGTATCAGGGAGGGAAGTGCTGGAAGATCCAAGACAGTGAAATCCTCCTCTACATTAGAAGAATTTTGTTAATTTCAGAAGTTGTCTGAAATTGATAAATAAAAAATTCACAGAAAATATTATATAAATAAAGAGACAAACTATCAAAAGAAACAACCAAAATAATTAAAAATCATTGTCTCCACTGAGTGAGAATGGACACAGGATAGGAGTAGTTGGTGTAGGAGACCTGTTTTCACATTTTAAGTCTTTCAGGACTATATTTAATAGAGTTTTTTAAGAAACAGGAAAAAACATAGACAAGATTATACAGGGAGGGGAAGAATGAGAAGAGAAGAGAAGAGAAGAGAAGAGAAGAGAAGAGAAGAGAAGAGAAGAGAAGAGAAGAGAAGAGAAG